TCCCACTCTCTCCCTCCTCTCTCTCTCTCTCTCTCTCCATCCATCATGATCGTAAAGAGTAAGATGGAAACACTTAGAGAGATAGATAGATAGATAGATAGATAGATAGGTAGATGTCTAAACAGAAAGGAAGACAGATCATTTCTTCTATGGTATGGTATAAATGCCTAGCAATATGCTCATGCTGATGCTGATGCTGATGCTGATGCTGATGCTGATGCTAATGCTAATGCTAATGCTCATGCTCATGCTCATGCTCATGTTCATACCCATGCTGATGCTGATGCTGATGCTGATGCTGATGCTGTTGCTGACGCTGATGCTGATGCTGATGCTGATGCTATTCTAGCAAACACCCTCCTCCAGCCAGCCAGCCAAAAAAAAGAAAAGCGCTCAATCAAATATGCCTCCTAGACCATCCCTCCCCCGCGGTCCAGCATTTTTCTCCCCTTACAATGCGATGCAAATGCAAATGCAGGCCGCGCCTTGAACACCCTCCCAAACACCATGCTTCAACCCCAGACCCGGACCCCAAACCCAGACCCGGACCCCAGACCCCAGACCCCTAGACCCCTAAACCCCGAACCCCGAACCCCAGAAGCAAAAAGAAGAAAAGAAGAAGCAAAAAAAAAAAAAAAACACCACAAGAGCCCAACTAAACTCCAGATCCACGCTCGCTAAAACGGCATAATCCATCTCGTGTGTATCTCTCTTTCTTTCTTTCTTTCTTGCTTTCTTTCCATCCAATCCCCATCGACCTTCGACCTGCCTGCCTGCTCACACAAGGACAGAACAGAACAAGCCAATACTCGTCACAGCGTAAATTTCATCTCAGATCCTAGTCCCCCCCTCAAACATCCATGATAACGTCATTACAAGCCCCAATGTCGCCCCCGAAGGCGTCCAGATCTAGCACCTCGATCCGCCGCATCCACGTCTGGGGCCACAGCAGGAAGACGCCGTGCACGTCCTTCATGTGGGCCTGCCACTCCTCGTCAAAGATCGTCTCGCGGTTGTAGCACGGCACCGCGGCGCCGTCGCCGGCCCGCGCCACGCTGAGCTGCTTGCACAGGTCCAGGATCTGGAAGCCCTCGGCCGCCGGGATCACCGTCCAAGCGTACTTGGTGCCGATGTTATGCTCGCGCAGCGCGCGGAAGGGATCCGGCGAGTGGGAGTGAGCCCGGGCGAGGGGGGCGGCGGTGCTGGTGCTGCCGCTGCTGGACGACACGGGGCCACGGAAGGGGGAGGGCGTGTAGCTGGCCGCGTGGCTGGTGGTGTAGTTCGGGTAGGGGGAGGGCGAGGCGGAAGCTGATAGCGTGTAGGATGGGTGGGGCTGTGAGTGTGAGGCCATGGACATGAGTACCGCGGACGGGGAGAAGGAGTCGGCCGTCTGGTGCCCAAAGGTCCGTTGGTAGGATGTTTCGGCATCCATGGGTTCGGAGTCGTCGGTCCGGGCGGACAATTGCGAGGAGGAAGAGCGGTTGCGATCCTGCATCTGGGGTTGCGCTGGGGGCATTTCTCTGTTGATGTTGGTTAGCACTTTTGACGGCTCTCCCACTCGCCCCATGTTGAGCGTCAACATGGTGTGACGACGGCATCCGAGAGCACTTACAATCTACCCCTCCCACTACTGCCCTCCGCAATGGCCAGATTCAAGCCCTCGTTTTTGATGTGTATCGCCACGTGCTACTCTGGTCAGCTGACTTGCCCCCTCTCGATTTGACGTTGAGGCAGGGTAGGTATTGACTGACTTTTCTCAGGTTGGCCGCCGTCTTTGTCTCTTTCTGGCAGAAACCGCACACCGACTCGCATTTTGCGATCCGTAATACGCCCGTCGTGTTCCAGGATGGGTGAAGATGTCCTTTGGAGCAGTTGGTGTTGGCCAGGGAGGATATCTCGCCACTGCTGGGCCGGTCGTGCTGTGGTCGGCGCGAGGAGGTCATGTCGGTATCTTCTATGTCCCAACTATATATCCCGAACTGATCCCTTGTGGTGGGGTTTGTGAAGGAGAGGTCAGTAGGCCCTGTGCTTGTGTGTTGTGGTCTTGTCGGTTGTTATTATCCTTCTCGATACAACAAGAGGTAAGTGTGTAATGTAAGCGGGATGTCTTCGCCCCTTTATGGAATGCTGTTCAATAATAGAATCGCTAGAAGATCAATAATGGGACAGAGGGGTTAACAAGCAGAGTACCGCCAATGATCAAGGTTGCAAGCTTATCCGGGGTGAAACAGTCTCCGTCTGGAGCTACCTCCGCACAAGAGAGGAAGCCATGATACTTATACGGATTTGTCGACGCGTCCGTCTCATCCCTACCTGGCGTCCATGGATTCGCAAAGGTGCCCGGGTCAGTGCTGGGTGGATGCAAGGCTATTCAGGTCAGGTCAGGTCAGGTCAGGTCAGGTCAAGGCTGCTGAGTAGCTGGGGAGCTGGGTAGCTGGGTAGCTGGGTAGCTGGGTAGCTGGGTAGCTAGCTAGTACTGTAGTAGTAGGCAGTAGGCGCAGGTCCACAGCTGGAATGTTCGCTTTGGCTTCTGGCTTTGGGGGGCTATGGAACAGGAGTGTCTATGCTTTGATTCCGCACTGTACAGGTGTAGGAGGGGAGTAGGAGCGCGAGAGTGGAGAGCGGAGGGTGAAGAGTGGAGAGTGGGAAGTGGAAAGTGGGAAGTGTTTATTTCTGAGTTGGGAAATGCTCGCGAGAGTAGCGAGCGTCGAGAGAGGAAACGGACGGGATTTGTATTGTAGGCAAAAGATGCGATTGGCTCCGCTGCACCCTGGGCGGACAGCCATGCGGGCGTGCGTGGGTGGGTGGGTGGAGCGTGCGACTTGGGGAAAAGTCAAAAGGATTGTAGGGACGTGCAGGGTCTACCCGCTGGGACGGGGCGATGAGCTTCTGGGATGCACCTTCGGATCGACCTGCGGGATGGTGAATTTCTATTTTCATCTTGTTCTTTTTCTTCTTTAGTTGCGAGAGGCCACGTGGATGTGGATGTGGATGTGGATGTGGATATAGGCGTGTTTGTAGAGAAGAGCGGTGATCCCAGAGCCGGAGTTAGAAACACGATGATCGATCTCTAGCCAGCCGTATGATACAGTAACAATCTTACAACTGCTGCTCGACCGGTATTCCGTAAGCGGCTTCGGGCCAACACACTTGACTTTTTTCCTATTTCTTCGACGACGTGTGGTCGAAACGTAGTACGATGAGAAGCACTCAGGAGACGACGGAAGACGATGTGATGCCCATTGAGGAAAAAAGACCGCTATCAACAGCTAACCGATATCGAGAGATATTTGCCGGTTTCAAGTGTGCTGCATGTGCAGAAGAGGTTACATGTACAGAGAAATTTAAATATTAATATTAATCTACGGTATGTATAGCATATATGATAATATGATAAATACACAGATACACACACATACACACATACACACATACCACATACGGCTCTTCGGTATACCGGTACATAGTTTCCTCCAGCCTCGTCTGAAATGCGATTCGTCAATCCAACGACAACTGTCTCTCGTTCGACCTCTCCCACCGCCCAATCGCAATCGCGTACCGAGGAGTCCGTACTCACTCCTCTCCCTGTTCCTCGATCCCACGTGGCCTTGAGGGGGGGAACCCGACACCTTGGGTGACAAATGTCCGGACGCATTCTCAGGGATTCCGGAATCGGGAATGCTGCCATCGATACTTACAGGACTGTACTACTGTACGTAAGTAAGTAAACACGGATGATCCTCGCTCTCCGCTGTCTGTGCGGCACGGGGTCCCTTTTGATTTATTTATATTTGTTCTGTTTTGTTCAGTTTTGTAGGTATTAGCGAATGGGAAATAGGTTGGGGGTGGATATATATGGCTGGCGTTCTTTTCTGGGATGATTGTTTCCAACGTGGTGGTTGATTCATTTCCCCGAGGGTGGGTTAGGAGAGCTCGCGACGAGTCGCATCTTCAGTCCAGTCTCATCTCGCTCGACGCACCGCCAACTGGCAGCAGCTCTTCGCCCGGCGCAGTAGTAGTAGCGAAAAAAAAAGGGTTTCCACTTGGATCCGACGCCAGCCTTGAGCTAGTCTTACTACGTACGTGTACAAGTACTAGTAGGCGTAGTTCTTCGTAGCTTGGTACTCAAATCGGACGGCGAGACCGAATGGAGAGATTCGAGGTTGCGATTGGGCAATCCATGCCTCAGATTTAGGCTTTGGAGGTTCAGAGATCAAAACTTTAAAGAGAATCTGGATTCCGTAAGGAAAAGGAAAACTCTCAAGGTAGAGGGAGAGACGAGATAGAGGAAGAAGCATGGCGAGCGGGCGATACGGTTTCGAGAGAATGCCTCAGTCGGACTTGTGGATGTCGATTTCAGACTCCGAAGCCAGCCAGCTAACTAATATATATATATATATGTCTTGACAGACTGTACGTAGATATACCGGTAGTTGTATACTGCCGAGTGCTGCGATCAACATGATTGGCACTCGCAAAGGGTCAGAGTGAGTGATAGAGCGGTGTACAATACATATAGGATGAATGCGTAAACAAGTACCGACCGGTATGGTGCAATCTTCACTCGCTCTTCCGACTTCGATCTTCGAGGGTGCCAAACGGAGAGGACCCATAGACACGGCTGAAGAATGCCTTGGCCTCCGAGATCGATCTTGGCTGCCTCGATCTTCCACCATCGTCTAACCTGCTCTCCATAATTCCCAATCCAGACTGTATTCTTTTGGCTCTCGGCACCGCGTGCACCAACAACTTGGCATCCCATCCCATCCCATAGGGGGCCATTTCGCGAATTATTCGCGAACTCGCATAATTTACCTTTCTAGGCGTGTCTTGCATCCCGTTCTCATCATCATCATCATCGAGCTTTCATTTCAAGGAAGCTCGGAATAGTGTCCGATGAATGAGGGCTGCCCCATTCCAGAGATCACGATCTTTCGCATTGCCTATCTTGAGATCGAGATCTCAAGGCCGCGAACCGAAGCGGATGACTGACCCTACATTAGATAGAGAGGCCATTTGGTGATAATGTTGATTAGCAGGAGCAGCATTCTTGCTGCCTACTCATACAACGAATGCGTAAGATGTTGTCGGCAAGGCTTCGTGCAAGTTGGACCGTCACCAAATCAGCTGTCGCCGGCCGTTGAGCATAAATCAAACACTCTGTAGATAGCAGCGCCAACCCCTAGTAAAACACTGATAATAGTCGCGATCAAAAAAAAAAAAAAAAGAATAAAAAAAAAGATGGAACGAATCTGGGCAACGATCATCCCATGGTTGGTACGCCGAGCCTCCGATTATCATCCGCAATCTTTACAATTGTATGAAGCTGTGCTATCCTTGGAATAATTGCAGAGACCGATAGCTAGCCTTTCCACGAACGAAAATAGAAATCCTAACACACCTAACACACCGCAACCAAGCGTCCTTGTATCTATCACAAGGCTTTTCATTTTTGGTGTCGAAGTACAAAGCGGTCCAAAAAAGCTGGAAAGCTGACATGCGCCATTGGGCCTTTAGTCACGTGTTTGGAGGCCACAGGGAGTGGGCCTAATCATTGGCGTTTATCTTGCACGAGAGGGTAGTCTATAGGAACTTCCCAGTTACTAGTATAGTACACTTATTGAAGCATATAGATTAAAATGGATAAATAGACTTTTTTGCCCCTCTGTAACCTTTATCAAGTGCGGTACGAGATCAGGTGATGCTAGCTGTTCCCAACGTTGCGAAAGGCATTGAGAGAGAATCATTGAGATGAGATAATGAAAAATAAAAGGCAGCTGGATTCGGATGAGTAGACAGCACCATGTGATTTATACACAGCCATGTTCAGCACGCCATAAGCATAAGCTGGAATGGACTTGATCTGCCTTGACATATACATCATAGGCTTGAGAAAGCCTGCGAAGATGCGTTGGGTATGCACTTATGGCTATACCGAGAAATGATTCTCTTCTCGTGCTCGCCATACCGGTACCTAGGTAGGTGTCCACGCTTCTCTCAACATTGACCCAGCTTTCAACCTTCAATAGCCAATGGTCAGAGGCAAAAGAGGAAAAAGAAAAGCCCGTGGGCAAGGCTAATACAAAAGTGGATAATACAGATAAGATAAAGCGAAGAAGAGCCGGGTCTGGAGCGCAATAGGGCTGTCTTTGAGTTTGACCAACCCAAATCTCCGTGGCCAGCAATTTGGATTGGATTGGTTTGGTTTGGATTTGCTCCAAGCGCAAGCGGGAACCCCGATGTGCTTTAAGCTTAAGCTGAAGAGGACCCTGTGTCCATCCCTTCCGCTCCCCCTCCCCTTCTCCCCCCTCTTGGATCTGTACCTCGATCGCAATTGGCACATCCTACCTAGTATGCATCGCATTGCTTGCAGAGGTGTTGCCCTCCCCGTCCCCGTTGGTCAGTCAGCCAGTCAGTCAGTCCCGTGAACATTCCATCGTACAAGCTGCTATTGCCTGGCTTTGTACCACCTCTTGGTGGTACTTGCGCAACGCCTTGCCTTCCATGTCCTTCTTCCCCCTCCCTCTCTTCGTATTCAATCAACAACTACCTGCCGACGTCCCTGGTTCCGGCAATGCACTGCACCTTGCGCACTCCCAACTCCCAGCACGGATTCTGCGGCTCTCAACTGATGCACCGCGACTGGCCTGCGTTGCAATCGCCCCCCTCGACACGCATCGCGGCAGGAGAATGAGCTTGGGCCTGAGAAAAAAGGGACGACGACGGCGATAAGAAATGAATAGAAGCAGCGCATGACCCGAGATGGATCAGCCGAGAGAAAATGAGAAGGGAAAAGTAGAGGATGGGACTGGGCCTGTGAAGAAGCAGCGCAGAGCCAGTCGGCCCAAGGTCAAGACGGGCTGCAATAACTGCAAGTGAGTCGCATCCGCATCCGCCTTCAACTCCGCCGCCGCCATACACATTCGTTGCTTATCTAGATTTCCAGGCACCGGCGAGTCAAATGCGACGAGACGAGACCGCAATGTACGTGCTGGACAAACATCTGCCGGGGAGGAAGTGGCTAATAGGCGCAGGTCAGAATTGCGTAAAATCAGCACGGCAATGTGAGGGGTACCCTGCGCACAAGAGGACGGGCGATGTTCTCCCCATCGCCCCCAGGCCAGACGTCGCAGCTGGAACGTCGATATCATGGACTCCCTCCTCGTCGACGTCAAATTGGGGTTTGCCCTCTGCGAGGATCGTTCCGAAGAAAAGTCATCGTCCTGTCCAAGTCCCACGTGTTGTTCGAAAACCTCAGAAGGTTACCGTCACCCCGAATTCTGTTGTACCACATGTCCACCCGCGGCAAACCCCTAAGCTGCCTTCTCCGACGACACTCAGCCCTGGCGGGCTCACGTTCGATGCGAAGGAGGGGCAATATTTCCGGGTATTCAGGACGCATACTGCCAGCGAGCTATCGGGATTTTTCGATTCGGAGTTCTGGCAGAGGAGTGTACTTCAAGAGAGTCATTCCGAGGCTTCGATACGGCACGCGGTCGTTGCGCTGGGAGCTCTGTATAAAACATTGGAGTCGGCATCGGAATCCCCTCCAGGTTCGCCGGTAGCCGAGACATTCGACACGGTGCCTACCAGCCATTATAATTTCGCATTAGAGCAGTATGGGAAGGCGATTGCCCGGCTAAGAGAATCCCTCGCGAATCAGGAAACTAGGTCGGAGCGGACGACATTAATATCCATCGTTTTGTTTACATGCTTCCAATCATTTACTGGGGATCACAAAGCCGCCATCCTGCAGATTCAACACGGACTTGGCTTTCTCGAGGAGAGGCGGCAAGACTCCAGAAATCCAACTATGCAGAAGAAAGAAGAAAAAGTCGAGGATGAGCTCGTCCAGATATTCACACGCCTAGCAGTGCAGGCCAAGTCCTACGATATGGCCTTCCATTTCCCTCACCCATATGTGATTCGACTCTCCCCCAAGACCCAACCAGACCCGACATCGCCGCAATCCCCATCCTCCCCCTCCGACTCCTCAAGCGACCCCATGGATCCCCCTATGCCCTCGGCTTTTCGCAACGCACAAGAAGCGCGCACCGCCCTCGACTCTCTCTGCGAGCGCATCATGCGTTTTAACGAACTGCTCTCCTCCTACCATCGTGGCCCTAACAACATCCTCCCGCGCTTTGTCATGTCTCAAGGTATGGTTTTTGGCGACCAGCTCCGACAATGGGACGCCGCCTTCGCGCCTCTCTTTCTCACCCGCCGCAACAGAGGCGTCAGCAATACAGAGCGCGCCGGCATCAACGTCCTCAAAATGCTGGAACTCATGACTGGCATACTATATCGGATGGGCTTCAGCACCTCCGAGATGGAATTCGACAATTTCACGCCGCAATTCCAGGTGATTGTTGACTTGGCCAGCGAGGTTGTCCTGGATGAGGAAATGGTCTTGGCGCTGGCTAAATGTGGTACCCAAGCGAGGGATTGTAAGCACCGGCAGAAAGCCGGCTATCATCTCCCTGGCCTAGCGAGTCACCAACCTGGCGCATATGGGGAGGACGAAGGGTATATGCATATCAAGGCCTCGTTTGCCCTCGATCTTGGGATTGTACCGCCGTTATTTGTCGTCGCGACCAAATGTCGGGACCGCAAACTCCGCCGCGAAGCTATCCGCTTGCTGATGAGTAGTCCACGGAGAGAAGGCATGTGGGATTCAATACTGAGCGGTAGAGTCGGCCAGTGGATCATGACGATCGAAGAGGCGACCATGTCACCGTGGGAGGGCCCCAGCGGACGCGCAGCGCAGGAAACCGTGCCGGACGAGCGGCGGGTGATGGTGAAGGAGATCCTATTCGATATGCAGAGTCGCGAAGCGACGCTGCGATGCGGGACGCGGGGCGCGAGACAGGGCGATTTGGACACGAGGGCGAAGGAGACGCATATTTCCTGGTGATGAATGAGGTGACTACAGGATATCGACAGAAAATTGCGACTGCTTTTTGGCAGGTATGCATGGAATGTGAAACGACAGTACATAGGAACCACAGGACTTGAGATGCTAACGCGGAGTTGGGGAGGGCGGGGGTATAATTTAGCGATATCATGGAGTATAATTATAAGAAGATATTACGGGCTTTGCCTGGCGTGATGGCGATATTTGTGACCGGGCCGTGCTGAGGGATATAAATATCAATAAACATCCATACTTTCGGCTAAGGAAAGGGGCTCGGTAGAAAGTCCTGATGTGAACTCTGACTTGGTCCTATGATAGGTAGGGACGTCTTACTATGATGGGAATGTAAACGCGGGATAAGATTTTTGTGCCTATTGAATATGTTTATTTGTTTTAAAATAAGAGGGGGGGATTGTTTGAGAGTGTTTGAATAGTAGATTTTGAGATGCTGTAAGTGAAGAAAGGGTAGGGGTACCGACCGTACTTGATGGAACGAGTACGGGCGACCGGGAGATCTTTAGCCCGACTGCAACGAGCAAGAGATCCAGATAACTCCTTCTGGTCGCGTGACAAGAACGTAACGTCTAGAAGGATGAATGAGGCGTGCTTGCAGCCTCGGTCGCCTGGATTCGTATGGGTGCGGGGTTCCTTCGGGATCTTTTGAAAATGGGGGCGGGCACTACGATCGTCGTCGACATGACGTTTTTTTCCGCGGTACACAAGTCACAAGTGCCGTTTGCCAATGAGGGGCGGAGATCGCCCCAAGAATACTTGTACACACATGTAAAACATGGGCTTCTCTTCTCTTCTCCTTCTCTTTCTTGTCTTGAGCAGTAGTTGTCTCTGCGTGAATCTAGGTCGGTTCCTGGATGTTGAGTACTTCTTCTGGACTTTTCTGATTTACCTACGAGAGCGATAATGGCTGGTAGAAACAATATCGCTATGCTCGACGTGAGTGTTTTTTTTTTTAAAAAAAAGGAAATCAAAGAAGAAAAATATCTGTTGCTATGTTGATTGGTATTACCCCGCAAGGCATGATGTGGCATCTCATCATAGCATCACCACCTCGCGATATATGCAAAGCTCTCTGGGCATCTTCCGATCCTCGTTCGATCATTCCAAGCCCAGCCAGCAGTCTATTCAAGCCAATCTTCTGAGTTCTGGGCTGACCCCGAATTTCCCCCCTCGCAGACCACCCTCGTCGACCGCCTCCCCGCGGCCTCCAAGACGCTCTTCGACGCCAAAGCCACCAAGTGCCTGTCCTTCGAGTCCATCGCCCAGGAGCTGGGCCGCTCCGAGGTGGCCGTCGCCGCGCTCTTCTACGGCCAGTCGACAGCGTCAGCCGAGGACGTGAAGAAACTGTCGGCCCTCCTGGGCGTGGACGAGGGGAAGCTCTCGGCGCAGCTGCTCGGGGGGTTCCCCGATCGGGGACGGGCGGGGCCCATGCCTCCCGTTGAGCCGCTGATCTATCGGCTGTACGAGATTGTGCAGAACTATGGGTGAGTCTGCGTCCTTGGGTTTGCGGATGCCGGGGCGAGGTTGAGTAGAGGGGGTGCGAGTGGCTCGGGTGGCACGAGATTGGGGGGGGGCAGGGGAGGGCATTGGTGGATCAGACGCTGGTGTTGGTGTTGGATGGGTTGGGACTGATGCCGAGGTGTAGATATGCCTATAAGGCTGTCATGAATGAGAAGTTCGGCGACGGGATCATGTCTGCGATTGCGTTCAGCACGAAGGTCGAGAAGGAGGTTGACGAGGACGGCGTTACGTGGGCGAATATCACGCTCAGGGGGAAGTGGCAAGTCCTCTCTCTCTCTCTCTCTCTCTCTCTCTCTCTCTTCTTGAGCCAGTGCTGAAGTGAAGTGCCGCTAATGATCCTTCCAGGCTGCCGTTCACCAGATTCTAGATGGACAGACGTGAATAGTAGAATGAAAGAAGAGGTGGTGGTGGGAGATCGCAGGCTGTATCGAGAGCGAGCTGGAATCCGGTGCTTCACACGGGCTGTCAGATCAGGAGTCAGAGGGTATACGTATGTAAAGTCAGTCAGCGAGCGCACTTGTTTCGCACCAGGACAAAAAACGATGCAAGAGTCTACTCACCTATCACTTCAACTCTTCCCACCTCCACGTCGCGCCTCTACCCAACATCATAATCTCCAAAGGTAAAAGGACTGTGTGTGATGACGGTAAAATCCACGTCCAAAAGCAAGATAGAAAAAGCCACTATACATCGCAGATAGTAGTATTCCAAACCACGCTCAACCCCCGCCCAGTTCCGCCCCCAAAATCGTAAAGCGGTAGTTTCTGAATGGCTCAAAGCCCTGTCAACTCCACTGTTCCGACTGAAAAACTGGCTCAAAGCCTGCAAATCAAGAGTCCAGATATTTTTACAGCTACAATCACTTAGTAATTCTTCAGACTATCACTATGTTCTCAAGGGCTCTGAACTCTTCGGTCGGTTATTACTCCCTCCCAGCTTTCGATAGCAAGGCGATTCCTCCCCTGGAATGGCCGTTGCGTACCTACCGGTACTCTGATGTGGCAGCGGCTCACTGATAGCGCAAGGGACCGGGCACGGGGACCGTGGGTCGCGATTTCTCGCAGAGGAGGAGGAGAAGAAGAAGAAGAAGAAGAAGCTCTAGCGAGCCTGCGAAGAAGCCCTTGGTTAACCGGGCCAGGTGCCGTAGCGCCCCGGTGACATCTGACATCTTGACATTCCCGCGCCGTTTATCTGAGCTCATCCATCGATAAAGCTGCAAGCGTACGACGGGACGCGTTGTCGTTCCTCGGGAAAAAACTAATCTGTGAAGCGATGGCTTCTCTGCTCCTGGGTCGAGAGAGGAAGGGCTTGTGAAGTTTTGCTCTGGGACGGAGAGAGATGCTTTGATGGTGCTTGGTTTGCGTTGATGCGCATCGGGATGGAAAAGGCGGATGGGGTGCTTTGGAGCAGATCACTCTCGAAGTGTAGATGCTGACTTCATTAGGTACGTTAGGAATGCTGGTTCTTGTGCTGCCGTTACTGTAAAGAAAGAGACGGTGCCGCTTTCGGAGATCGTAACGCAAGGACGGAAGAGGAGTCGGTCGCTCTCCCTTACTGGAAAGGTATTCCCCGAGGCCCTTCGGAATCGCTTCTCCTTTACATTCGCGATCCCCAAACCTGGAGCTCCTTGGCCGTCCTCCTTGCGTTTGTTGCTTGTACAGCTCTCGAGTACCTTCAGCCTTTACCTTTTGTGTTGGTTGATCTCAATACCTTGCTTGAGAACATTTCCTTCTCTTACTTGACCTTTGATGCGCTCTCGTGATTTTACGAATAGATAGTCGCGCAGGGTCGTCGCAGAAGGGCGTGCGAGTAAGCGAGTCCTGGGAGTCTGGGTTTGGTTTTGGGACCTTGATGGACGCTCATAAACCACAGCGTCACGGATTGAGCGATGTAGCCGATGGTCTGACTCGTAACGTGTAGAAAACCCAAATCTAATTCCAAGTGTGGTCGTTCTACAACAGCCAGTAGATTGGAGAGAGGTGCACTCTACCCTAGTCTCGAGCTCTTCCCAAAGCATCGCTTCAGTTTCGCGTACCTGCTATAAGTATCAAGCATCAATCATAAAGTAAGACGGTCCGAGCTCCCACGCACCCTCCTCAAACACGTGGACTACCTCTTCACGTAGACGACGTCCGTAGTAGCGCTCTCCATCATCTCTGTCCTCAACATTCCTATTCTTCTTCCCCCTCCGCTCCTCTCGGCTTCGGTGTTTCCTCTTCAGCTGCTCACGTCTCTGATCCCCTCCCTGCAGCGCTCCGTGATCCAATACGCCAACTCCAGCTCCAGCTCCAGATCCACCCCCACCATCACTACCATGTTTCCGATCCCCAATATACCCCTCCCAATCCGCCTCCAGGCCGCCACCGTACGAGACGTGCGGCTCCCGGCCTGCATATCCATGCCGGCCCAGGGCTGCATCCTGGGTGTACCCAAAAGGGCTACTCCTCCTCCCCCGTCTGCGCCGCAGCCGGCGCTGGCGCTGGCGCTGGCGATGGCTCTCTCTGAATCTATCTGCCTGAGCTCCATCCCCATCCCCATCCCCATCCCCATCTCCACTCCCATTTTCATCGTCATCGTCATAGAACTTCAGCCCTTCCCTCGGCCCCTCCTGATGCCTTCCGATCGCGTCGCGCACGGCTTTTCCAACGACGGGGATAGCGGCTCTGACGAGCCACTCTGTCAGAGACGGAGCGTCGCTGTCATTTCCACGTCTTCCTCGTCGTGCAGCCGGCCTGTGCATCTCTCCCTCTCCCTCTGTCTTGGTCTTGGTCGTGGTCTTCTTCTCCAAGACCTCAGCCACTCTCTCGGCAATGATATGCCTAAGAGGCATCGATCGCGGTACTCAACAGAGGCGAAGCCAGAGCACGCGTTGTGTGTGTGGTATATTAATGTTTGTTCTCATAGCCAGATGCAGAGATATCGATCGAGAGAGAACAACTCGAGAGGATTGGAAAAAGGGGCACGAAAAGAAATGAAACAGGGGACTGACTCCCTCGGGTTACGTACACAGCTATGAAAGCGTTGCTCTGCTCTCCTGCTCTTGTGAATAATAGTATTCATCACTCGATCTCTTCTTTCCGCTTTGAATTACTCACACGCTGTTAGATGCTGCTGACTCGGTCATTTCGTTGACTTTTCCTGTCTCTTCAGTGGCGCAGCAGAGGCGGATGTTTCGTGGAATATATGTATATATCTATGCCTGCCAATTCATCTCTTCCTCTATTACCTACTCTAAAAACCCCCCGTGGTATCCGTTAGCAGCAAGCAGCAAAGCCTCTCTCTCTCTCTATCGTTATTCCCGAGCCGCAGCCAGACGGACACGCCTCACCCATATATACTCCTGATTGCCATTCCCCGCTCTCCCGGGCCGCTTCTATGAGTAAGTAAGTGTCATCCTTCCCGCCACCGGTCAGTATCTCTTCAGGTTTCGGCTTGGCAGCAGCAAGCAAGCAAGCAAGCAAAGGGGTCTGGTCTATCACAGACCTTTCCCTTCCGGTTTTCTGGCTACGAATCCTGGCTGTTTTCGGTGAGCTTACCTATCCATCACTCTGGGGATGGCGGCTGCGATGAGTTTTGTCGGTTGTGGAGCGGGGGTGGTGTTTGCTATACCGCTGTTCTTGATAACTTCGGCTGGCTTTGTCGGCAAGGCCGATCGAATATATATATATATATATATATATATTTTAAATGGGACGAGAACTTTACAGCACTAAACTTCTAGAGAAAGAAAGGGGTCATGGCAACGGAAGGTAGCGATGAGAAGGGACTTGCGAAGAGAATACGATGTTGAAGACTGTGATCTTGGACGAGTAAGCATCGCATGCACGCATCACCACCTACCTGAACACAAAGACGAGAAAGTAAAGAGTCGTGAGGGTCAAGGGAACTGAAGAATTTCCAATCTCGCGTGTGACGTTGCCCCGAGGGGGAAAAAAGGACCGACAAACAACAAGATCTTGCTTCGGAACGGATCGTGCTGAGGATGATAGTAGGCTCCACTGATTCCAAGCTCTCCGCCTAGTTGTACCGGCAGTTGCACACGCATTCGTTGAGGACTGATAGGCACTGCCCCCCAGATCATGGTCAGCAGCCATACACGCAGCTCACGCTAGAGCGCGCGAGAAGGGGAGAAAGCCAGCGCACGTAAGACCCGTCACAGTGCAGGTATCCATTGCATCCCGACTGGGCACAGCACCACTTTAGACAGCCTAGAGTAGAGAGGTGTGTGAGTAGGACTTCCTGTGATCCTCCTGGGAGGGGGTGGGGGGATGTGTGTGTATGTGTGTGTGTGTGTGTGTGTGTTCGTACTGAATCCCGGACCGCAGGTTTTGGCTGCGACGTCGACGGGGGCCCCCTCCTGGCCATGTCAGCCGCAGCAGCATCTTCGGATCGGAGAAGCGAAGCTGGGCTTACCTTCTTCTTCTCGACATCGGTGGGCCGGGGGATGGCAAGGCCGGCTAGGACAGCGAGGCCGAGAAAGAGACGCATGGTGCCAGGACGGCGTGGCAGATCGACGAGAAAGACGGGTCGCTTGGTGTGGAGAAATCCGGAGCCGCGCGGGACGGTATGTGAATCCCGAGATGCTGGACGGGCAAAGCGGACGGGATAGAATGGAAGAAAGACTCGGCTGTCGTATATATAGAGAGCTTTTCACCATGGGAGCCCTAGCTGTGGCAAGCGGGATGTTGAAAAGCGGGGTGGATGTCGTGCAACACATCTCACTTGCCGCATGATCGAGGGGGGGGGCAGAAATCTGCCACTCCCGGGCAGACGAAGTGAAATCTGCGTGATGCGATTCGAAAGCTTGTATCGACAACGGTAAGAGAGGCGTATTTTCGTTCATTTTCTACAACTACGGCGGAAGCGACGTAGCAGAATCGGGCCAGAGCGAAAGTTGCTTGCAAGAGCCGGTTGGAGACCTTGACATCAACAGAGATAGAGAGAGACATTTGAGTTGTGCAGGTCTCATAACCGTCGCCTCCTCAACGATCCTGGTGATCTCAGGCATCTCTCCTGGTGCTCTTCTAATTGCACGGCTTCGAGACTGGTTTCTTCGGCTACAACTAGCGCCGGATGCAGCATGTTAGCCAGAAAAAGTCACGTCACACGTACCTCTGCAATGCGATCCCACCCACCTGTGGGAGTGCCCTCGGAGGAAGACTATCCACCATCGGGGCACAGTAGGTAAGCAAGTGCAGGCAGTGCCCGCACCTTGGGTTCATATAAGGGCAGCCGGTATGTTGTACGACGATGCTCTGCTGCTCGACGAGCACGACATTTGGCACCTGCCTGTTCGACCATTCCTCGCTTAAGCCTAAGCTCCCGAGGAAATCAGACGTAGCAAAGGGTCCTTTCTGCTACGGCAACAGCCCTTCTCTTTTTTTCTTTTTTTCTTTTTTTCTTTTTTTCTTTTTTTCTTTTTTTCTTTTTTTCTTTTTTTCTTTTTTTCTTTTTTTCTTTTTTTCTATACCATGGAAAAATATACTGTCTATTCTCTTCAAGTGCTCCTCTAACAGCACTTCCTCTTTCCCTTCCGCGCGGGGCTCTGCTGCCTCCCGCGTCATCTAGCACACATCACCCTGTCCCGTCCCCCTTCTGCACTCCTGGCTCATAATTTCTAAAATGCATGACCCGGCAGGAAGAAAAGCCTCGGTCGTGAAGCAGCCGCCTTGATCGACTTCTGCGTTGCTAAACATGCTGCCCATGCGCGATACGACAAAAGCTCTGCGCTGTTCCCACCGTTTTCGGTTTCCGATCTCTGCATGGAAGAGTAACGGAGATGGGACTCCTCGCACTTAGCAAATGAGAGCGTTTCCTGTGACCACCATGCTTTTCATGACTCGCTATTCTCGATACGCCATCTCCATAGCGTGATTCGTGTTCATTACCAATGAGGCCGGTGGCCGAGTAGTGAATCTACGAGGGTCCAGATTACAGTTTGGGTGGCCGGTGAGCCGGACGAGGGTAGGTATCAGCGAGTGTAGAGAAACAGAGAGCTGGCTCTAGAGACTCCAGAACTGCTTCTTCGCGGGCTCGGCATTGGAGATAGTCGACGATGGCTCGACTTTGAGCTGTGGGCGCGGCTGTAGTGGAGAGCTGCTCCTGGAGCAGCCTTCTCTGGGTGTCGGGGAAAATCTGATCTAGATGGCGATGAACGTTATATGTCCCAATGCTGAAGCTGGTATTAAGTGTGCTGGTAACTCTGGTGACCATTGAGCATTGGTTTGTGATACGGGGCATAAGAGCCTGACGAGTGAGGGAGTGGGTCTGTGGTAGAGCAGAAGTGAGTTGGGTAGTGTAGAATGTTATTAGAGTCCGTCTTGTTGATTCAGGAGAAGAAGATAATATCAAAGAGGGTGTATCACTTTGTCCTGAGAGGCGTGCTATGATCCAAGTATGTTATCACAGAACCGGTATATCCAGAGCTAGCCTTTCCACGAGAGTATGATGAATCCCTCAATATCTAACACTATTCCCGCCCAAATCACCGACGATAACCCACATGCTTTCATTTCCTTATACATCGCCCACCGCCATCACGATGCAAATCATGCATACCCTCTCGACTTCTTAGAAATTCAGGCCCCAGACCGACAGACTACCCCCCTTTCCATCCCCCGGTCCCGTAATCCCCTTGGACCGCAACCCTCTCAAGATCGCATCCTCCTGAATAATCTTCCGCAACGTCTCCTCACGATTCGTGCCAGTCAATCTCGACGTCAGCTGCAGTATCTCCACAAGTCTAGAACCACACGGTCAGCCCACAATCTCACCCCATGAGCATCTGTAAACAGATTCCTCACGCCCGAATTCCACCGTGCACCTCCACATCGCCACGACGGAAAGTGGGGTCGGAAGGGAGGAGCAGCATACCGATCACCAAGCGGGTCCCCGCCATACTTATGATCCAGCACCCCGATCTCAACACTCAGCTCATCGGATTTACCCTGCAGGATCTTCTCGAGGGCCGTAGGCTGGGCTTTGAGCCCTTTTCCCTTTGGGATTCTGCGTCCCGGGTGCGGTGGGGGGGGAGAGGCTTGAGGAGGGGCCGGTGCATCACGCATCTCTTGATCGTGGGACGCCATAATCAGCGAGCAAGAATAGACTATCCTGACAATCAAGCGTTGGTGTGAAAAGGGCTGCGGTCGGTGATCAATTTCGCGGAAGCATCTGGTGAGGTGATAAAGCTGAAGTAAATAGATATTCGGATCGCCTTGGCTCGCTTGATGCATCCGCTGGTCAACAAAGGAGGAAAGAGACCTCGGGCCGCATGCGCCCGGACGCGATTCTTTGTACGACCAACATACGGTCGGCCCTATCGTGGAGGGGCGGGAGCCAAATGTGGTCGCTCTAGAAATGTTTCCTCGTGCCTAAAGTGACACTCGAGGTGGTTCCCGCTGCTGCCATTTGCGCACGTGTGAATCACTACGACGTGACCGTGACTGGTAGTTCTCGCGTATAGAAACTCACTGAATATCCACCTCCCCCTTTCCCCTTTCCCCTTCTCCCACACCCCTCTTCTCCCATCATATCAGATCATATATATTCATATCATATACATACACACTTTATTTGACCTCCAGAAAGAAGAAGAAGAAGAAGAAGAGAAATGAAGTGAAAGACATCGCTAACAGGTGACCAACTAAATTGCTAATGCGCAATGGATTCTTGCAGTGTTTAAGCTGCGCTGAAGCTGGGTGCGTGTGCGCTGGAATTGTGTGGAGTTTGATTGACGTTGTGGAATTGTGGGAGGGGTCCACGGATAGGATACCGGGGTGTGGAGGCGGCTATGGGGGTTGGAGAGGACAGGGCTGCTGCAAAATAAAAAAAAGTGGTTGGGGGTAGTAGATGGGAAGAAGAGGCGTGTATGAAGGGGAAAGTGAAAGGAGGCGGTGATATGATATGATGTTGTGCAAGTATTATGCAGTTGGTAGCGAAGATCTTAATTACAGATGGAACAAAGCATGGCTGTTATATATAACCTTCCTGCCTGCCTTCCGTCCCCAAAACGCCGTGCCACCCATCGTACAGCATTAAGGCCAGTCCCAACTCCATAAACTCCGCATCGGATCTCGTGGCAGTGAAATCTACCAGGCGGCAGCATCACGATCGAATCGCACCAGCTCCTTCCCCGCGTCCTCCACGTCCTTCTTCGCTTTCATCCGCATATAGAAGATTGGACAATCCTTACTCGAGCAAATAACCTCACAGTGCATGCTCCCTTGACACCGCTGACACTGTGTCCACAAACGCCCGAATCTCACCTCCAAGTCACTGACTTTACTCAGAGTCTTCTGATACAGTTCTCCTACTCTAGGCGCACAATTCGAGCAGACAGCGCCGCCGACTTCGTCTTTGCCAACGAGGGGCTTCTTGCACCCCATACACGTGAATGTCTTTTTTGCGAATTTCATGAGTCCACCGATAGAGGGCGCTGCGACGGAGATGGAGCGTGTATGATCACCTGCCAACAGACTGTTGGCTTTCGTCTCCCCCAGAATAGGCTCAAAGATTCTACCCAGAGGCTTGGCAAGTTGATTGTCAAGGTAGTATTTCGTGTCGACGGGGATATTATTCTCGAGAACAAATATAGGGTCTTCGGAGCGCTCGAAGTTCTTGGCGCCTGCTGCGCCTTTGATGATTACATAGGCAACTCGATCGCCGAGGGTGGGGGCTGAGCCTGCATCGCGCTTTTTCATGCGTTCTGCAAGCTCAACGTGAGCTTGCTTGGCTGTGTAGTCTGCTTTTGCGAGGGCTTTGGTGATGACGAGTTTAGACATGTCGATTTTGTTCTGGAGGAGGTCTGAGATGGTATCCTTGACGTAGCTAGATATTGTTAGTAGTGTCTTGAATTTTGCGAGGAGTAGGACCTACTCTTGAGCACCCTGTACATCCCTATCAATCAAGATCATGCGCAGTACAGTCTCAATTACATTCTGTACCAGCCGACAATTGTCTCTCCGGACTGTCTCGATGCCCTTGGTGTCCATTTTGTCGTATTTGTCAGGATTTGTCCAGTATAGCCCAGCATAACGCTTTTTGTTGATCAGCAGGTACGGGTAGTAGACCTTCTCAAATTCAAGCTTGATCGGCTTGATGAACTTAGAGGAGACATACGCTGCCGCCTCCTCTCCGAGCTTCATCGCCTCAACAAGTTCCTTGCAACCAAACTTGACCATGACGGAATCGGTATCACCATAGATGACCTGAGCATCGTGGCTATAGCCATTGGCGATAGTGTACTTTTTCTCGACCTCTTCCTTCGTCTTCTCGATCATTTGACGGCCATAGCTTGTGGTACTACTAGCAATGGCAAGACAAGGAAGCTTTCCGACTGTTGCACCAGTGAGACCGTAGACACTGTTGGCACTGATCTTCAGAGCCAATTGACGACCGTTCAGCACAGCTTTCTTGAAGGGGTCGGTTTCAACAGCAAGCTCTCGCTTGGCTTGTTTACGCGCAGTCAGCAATTCCTCCAGAATCTGAGTCAATAGACCTTTCCGCTGTTTCGTTGTACAGAACATGTCATTGTTCGGGGTGACAATGTAGTCCTCATCCTTGACGAGACCTAGCTTCTCGACGGAAGCTTTGTTGAGTAGTGTGGTGTAACAAAGGTTGTGTGCTTGAATGATACTAGGGTATAGAGAGGCGAAATCAAGAGTTGCAATCGGCACATCGTAGTAGCCCCTAGTCGGTTCAATGACTGTGGCTCCCTCGTATTGCTCATCCGAAGCGTCTGTTCGCAGATTGGGAATTACCAGCTTCTGCTCCAGCGCCTTTCGGAACAGCTGGCTGACGAATTTGACTTGCTGACCACGGGAAAGGAGATAGTTGAAAGGTACACCTGTGACTCTTGACATTTCGGTGTAATTTTCGAGACATGAAAGTTTGTCCATCAGTCGTTGGGGCAGATACGCATCCTTCAGACAATAGACTGCCAGACGCCGCCTGGATTCTGGAGTACCATTGAATAATTCCGTGATCATTGTGTGGTGCACATCTTCCTTCTGCTCGCCGAGGAATTGCGCACAGACAGAGTTGAGGGTATAACTTCTAAGTTGATGGTCTCTCTGTACAAGCTGCAAAAGGTCAAGTTGTAGCCGACCATTAGTATTGGTTGCTTTGGTATCTCGATTGCCCATCTGTTTGCTGGAGAAGTTGGTCTCCTTCGCAGCTGATCTCGCACTGTTCAGCCGGGTCCATTTATCAAAATCTTTGACCTTCAAATGCTTCGCCCTGTCAAGCAAGTATGGAAAATCGAAGTTACAGATATTGTAGCCGATTATGATGTCCGGATCGACCTCCTCCATGAAATCTCTCCATTTTGTGAGCATCTTCTCTTCGCTGCTGAACTCGAAAAGCTGAGTGTTGACGATGGGACTGGTGTTGTCTAAACAGAACACGTTCCGTACGAATGGCTTTTTCTCTCCGTATCTTGTGACAACATTGGCGATTTGGATGACTGGATCGTAGTTGGCTTCTGGGAAGATACCTTTGCGACCAGCACACTCGATATCAAAGGAAAGAATCCGGAGAGGCGCCATCTTGGCCCATTCTCCTTCCGGCTTGTGAGCTATCAGATCTCGGTACGAAACGTGTGCCTCGATTTGACAATTCGAATGCCGTTCATTGTGTGGGATCATTGTGTAGTTTTCTGCTGCAACCTCAACCCAAGACATTCCCAAGATCTGCCATGGTTAGCCATTGGCAGTGACATAAAGAAGGATAGTCAGTCACCTTGCAGTCAATCATGAATCGTAAAACGTATGCAATGCTGTCGAACGTCAAGATGCCCCCGTCTCCACTTCCCTTCCACATGCCCTTGTAATTCGCAGTCCCTCCCTCAATTGTACTCCTGACTTTGTTGATAAATTTTGGATCAGTGACAGTGATCTTGATGTATGGGTTCTGTTGATTGCCCTGAAATCCGTACAGGTTCTCTCGGAGAACAATTTGCACTGAGTGGATGGCCGGTTGATGCTGTGCAAGCTGGGAGTCAAGATACGCCTTGAATCCATCACATTCGCGCTGTGTAAAATTGACTGGAGCAGCAACATAGAGGTAATGAAGAAAGTCGGTGACGTGCAGCATAACAGAGTGGCCATTCTGCGGGTTTTGGTCAGTCGGGGGCAGTCTGAAAGGCTCGACGTGCTTGCCTCCGTAACACCAAACAGCTTGACTGTTGCATTCCCGCCATTCAAAGTTCCTTCTTCGCACTCGATCTGCTGGAATATGAGGTTGTCTTGGCCTTCCTTGAAGTCTGCCAGACTTGGTCTCGCCCACTGTTGATCCTTCTCTGAATTGTTCTTTTTCAAGCCGGCCATGTCCTGGGTCATCTTCTCCAAAACTTCTGACTCGAAGTGACTGGGCTGACTTGAGCCCAGCCTTCCCTGAGGTCCATTCTGGGAACTCTTGAATCTCGTCGCGGGCGACGATGTGGGTTCTGCTTGTTCGAGTTTGCGCTTCTTTACTGATGCAGGAGAGGAGGGGATGTTTCGTCGAGCGCTGGTTGTATCGCCCAGGATTCTCTTCTGCGGAAGCCTGGAGGGAGCCATAGTCAAGAGATTACAGCTTCAACTGCGAAGCTTGTTGAGGAGGATAATGGAAGAAAGTAAACAATTGTGAAGTGGGCGAGGGATTGAGGTTCTTGTCGCGTCTACACGTCCATGTCGCGTTACGCGACCGACTCAATGATTAATTGAGCTCGGGAGCGGATTAATGAATATTCCGGCGTCTTAGTGCTTTCCAACATTAAGCAAGACTTCTTTTCACATCAAGGAATGTCCCCGGCTAGTTCCAGTCTTTAGTCAGGCACATCTATCAGATTGGTAATCCATTTAAACCAGTTCCATCATTTCAATCACGCTCTGATAAAATTTAGGTGGCGTCTGGTAATTTGGGGAGAAAGAAGAAATGCAAGAATTGAAACCTTGAAATTGTTTTCGTTATGAGAACTATTTTGCGTCTTATTTCCGATTCCGTTTGGTAACTCTCTCGAGTCCGATTTCGAAGGTACACTTACTTCGCAATGCCGAGGGTCTTTCGTCCTACTTTACCTTGGTACGGACCAGGTAGGTATCCTTAGCATAATTAACCGCGACCGCTATCTAGCATTATAATTAAAAGAATAGGACTTTTATGAAATGAGCAAATCAAAGACTTAAGGACTTGCTTTTCCTCGCTTCTTATAGATCGAGGTTTTAAAACAAGGTCTAAGATTGCTAGGGGAAGTCTGAAGGTCGATTTCTAGTAGAGACTTGATACCGAAGTTTCGAAAGGAGTTTCGAGGTTTCCGGGTTTCACTCCGAGGTTTCAATTTCTAAACCTCCTTTACCAGATACCCTTTACCAGATACTAATCACCTCAATTAGAAACCGAAAACAGCCTGGAGACTCCATTTGAGAGTGTCACCAGACGCGCCCTTACTAGAAATCAAGGTAGCATGCTAACGGCCATCCAACCACCATGAAGATTATCAACTTCTTCCCGGTGGATCACCGAGCAAGAGAGATTGCCCAAGAAAAGCACCTCCACCGAGACCTCGATGAAATGCATCTTCGACTCGGTCTTTTGCCTGGAGGATTCGCTGATTCTCACCTGTCCTTTGAGATGAAAACAAACCATCTAGCCCACCTCCACCAACTCCATGAGCAGCTGCTGCATGAGCAGCAAATGAAGTCGGACTATATGCAGCATCTCAATAGCAAATTTTGCAAATTTAAAAAACTTCCGATTGAAATTCGTTTCCTGATCTGGGAACGCGCTTTCTTATCTGATCTCCGTCCAAAAGTTCACCGTGTCGTTGAATTCAGAGGGAGCATGGTTTCCAATCAGCCTATTCCGCCGATTCTTCACGCATGTCGAGAGTCTCGTGCATTATACCTATCTTGAACAGACGCTACGTACGACTTTGGTACATTCATCAACTTCACCATTGACACTATCTACCTCACTGATTATATGATACAAGAAGAGAAGTTCCGCAGATTTTTGGAATGCGATTCCGCGAGCAGAGTCCAGAAACTAGCCTTGCGGGAGGAATTGTCCTGCGATATTCCAAACATTGGGCCCTTTGATATGGCCCGAAGGAGCATGATGTGTTACATGCCGGCATGGGTACAATTGATTACCATCTTTTATGACGATCGCTCCCACCAAGCCGGGTCTGACCTCGATGCCACGATCAAGAACTTATCAGCGAGAGAGAAGCGGAAGTGGGAGCACGCTGCGACCAACTCTTATTTGAAGTTCCAGGGTATGATGCATCCAACGATCGAGCACCGGTGTGCACGAATCGTCTCTGCACGCATCTATTAAGCATGGCCAGCGGTATTCCGATCCGATGCATACTCTCCATGTATTGAACATCATCTACAGCAAAGAGGTGAACACAGATCATTATGCGTCTTGATTGAAACAGACCAGGTCTCCTCAATTTGCGGACCATTCTCGACCCTCAACAACCCATGGGTCTTCGGTGCCAGGAAAGATCCATCGTGGATATCTTTCTTTCCTTTTGCTCTCTCTTCGACCGTTCTTGCGGTCGTTTAAGTCACGGGTTCCTCTTTCAGTAATGCCCTAACCGTGACATATTCGCTGCAAAATCACCCATGCCTCATCTGCAGTATCATTATTTTATTGCTCTAGTCGCAGCGATGAGGACCGTCAGCCACTTGCCAGTCGGCATCGAAGAGCGGCCGCGTATGGATTAGCAGCACTTCGACCAAGCTTGCGGCATCTAGCTAGAGTTGCGGGGAGCATTTTTCCCGTGAGGCTTAGAATGCTTATGTAGCGTGGCGCTCGTTCAGCATACTTCGATATCACGACTTTGGCGGAGCGGCACTTCATGGTAACTCAACATGGTAACTGAAGATCAAATCGATGCCAGCCCGGGGCCATCTGAAAATGGTAGGCTATCTGGAAGGTGGGGGAATGGCGACGATGCCACGACTGCTCGGTCTCCGGGATCGTCAACCCAGGAACCTTTAACTTGAACGATTTCGCGTTCGACTATGTTGTTCTTGACATTGGATGCGTTTAAACCCGGCGTATCAAAGAATGGAGAGAAGCTGTGAGAGAAGGGACGCTGATAGCGAGAGAGTAGCGTGATAGCGTTATGGCCGACGATCGTTCTTCTGGTCTACGGAGGTCCTTGTGTTAGGTAACGGACACCCGTCGCAAATAAAATTTGCGTGTTTATACAAGTATTTCTTCATTCTGCCTGATGGTAGTTGTTCTGGATAAGGAGCCGAGCGAGATTGAGTAAGTGTCGTAGGGTAGTAGTAGCCTCGCTTCGCTGGGCTTGCTTGTTTACCAACATCACTTCTCGATCTCGGAATAGTGTGGAGCCTTTCCATCCTTCGGAGGGCATGAAGATCTAGAATTATTCCAAGAAACGGTAGTGCTGAAACTATGCTGGGTATTTCAAGCTTCGCGCGGTCTTGGGGTGGGACTTGGTGGGGGTCTGCTTCATTACGTGAGACCTCCTTGTATAGTACTAGTACGTAGTATATCCCGAAGATTACTGTTGCGTCATAGGCTCTAAGTCGTGAGTTGTCTGTTGCGACTCCTACTTAACCCAACTCTGAGGTAATTTCGATCTGAAGATATCTACCTACTATCTACTGTACTTAATCCTTGGGTGTATAATGTCATGTGATATAGCCTTATGACTTAGGCTAAGCATCCCTAGCGGTGTCTTGCCGTTCAATCTGCCGAACCATCTGACCACCGGATCATCTCGTCCATCTCCTCCATCGCATCCATCTCATCCATCTCGTCCATCTGATCGCAACTTTCTTTTCCTTGCCCTTGACATTTACATCCTAGCGACCATGACATCATACGTAGTATATAACGTTTTGCTTTGCATACATCCGACATTCGCCAGCATTACCTGCGTCGGCTAGAACCTCATCGCCGATCAGATACCTATCCTTCACACGATCGTCTCAAGAGGCAGAACAACAGCCTTGTCCCTTGTATCACATCCACCACCACCATGAATCCTCATGTACAGCCAGCAGAATGTCTTGATTAACGTGGAAAAGGGAAGGGGGAAAAAAAAAAAAAAAAAAAAGGAAGAGAGAGAAATAAAACGTCCCACAGGCGATAATGTGTCGGACGCCGAAGATCGAGGCTTCCTTCCAAGCAAATCACCAAGGCTTTCGGGAAAAAAAGAAAGGCCGGCAGCCGGCCTGTTACTGGTACAGCACTGCACAAGGTTTAGTACTAAAAGTATAAGTGGAACAACGTCCATCTTTTCATGCGATCGCTCGTCCCCCCTCCCAGCCGATCTATCCATGCGATAAGGCATTACAACGGCGTGGCACTTTCAGATAAAACCGGCGCCGCCGTCCCAGGGCACTAGGTTTGACCTGGATGTATACAAAGAGCCTATTGCCGTGTCGCCCTGCACTATATGTACGTTGACTTTCCCCTCGGGATGGATTTGTATCCACCATCCAAGCAAGCACTGTCTCTATCTCCCTTCGCGCAATTACTGTCTCTTCCAAGTCGGGCATTCATTCTGATCTAAATCGACAGCCATGTCTTTCGTTACTTCCGGCCCGACGTCCTTTGAGGACAACCAAGACCGATCTTCATTTGGTGCCCTACAAAAGAAATTGCGCTTGTGGTACTACCAGTACGAAGTCACATTCTCCCTCTACATGCTCGAGCCGACCGAAAAGATTGTCCTGAACGCCTTCGTCCTGTCGATGTTCAGTCTTATGTTGTACGGCGTGGTATATTTCATGCCAGAGTTTGTGATTCAGTTTGTGACGAAGGGGATATCCAGTCTGTTCTGGGTGTACGTGAACGACAGCGGGAACCAGCTGTTGCTTGATGACGCGGTGGCACCATGGGTCAATTCGACGTCGTCGATGGTGGGATGGGATGAGGTGGGAGGGTACTCGATGTAATAAGGTGAGTCGAGCTGAACTTGGCGAGATCGGGTTTTTCCCAATCTTTCACTCGAGTCTTGCTACTAAAGTCCACCGCTAACAACTCCTAGTCAATAGGAAGCGCCCTAGGTCTCTAGATAATCGATGACTAGCTCTACTCACGATCGATCTGCAGCGACACAATTTCAGGCAGATTTCCTACGAGATGGACAGGACCACAGGCGCCCGTAAAGCGGCGGCTGTTTCTGAGTGGGGGATCGCTATGCCAAGGGGATCCCGGAGACGAGCCTCGAGCCTGAATCGCAACAACTCCACTCAAAACATGGCCTATAACAAGAACGGCTGTTCACATCTTTGAGCTTTCTGGAACGGTTGGAAGCGAGATATCTGTCTCGATGCATGGGAGCTGTTGCGAATGTGGTCTCCCGGGGTGGTATGGGTTTTATGATGCGACGATATCTATTTGCAGCATTTTCAGCGGGACCGCGGGAGTTTTGGGAAGTTTTTATACATGAAGAGAGGAGCCTTCGTGATTGCCATATTCTTTATATCTTTATATATGTATGTATATATATATACACCCCAAAAACTCGAGGATCAGAAAATACGGACGCTTAACTCAGCCATACTTGCTTTCCATGTACTCTTTCTCTCTTCTCTTTCTATTTTCTTTTCCCGGCACCTCTGTTGTGACACTGCGAGTTTCACAACCATCAAATGAGCGCTTATGCGGATGCATACCAGATGAACCCGACGCTAACATGAAGCCAAGTAAACAGCAACACCCTCAAGGAAGATTCTCGCTGGCTGGAAGTTAAGCCGCGTCATCATAACAAGGTTTCTCGTTGCTTGGGTACCTGGGCCAAGCTGACGTTTTCTGATGCTGTTTTTCATCTGCTCATCCCTGTTGTAAATTTAGAGTCGGCCTGGCAGGTCTGAGGGTCACGTGTTTGTGGCTGGTAAGTATGCGGATAAAAATGCAGGAACTTGGGATAATTCAAACTTTCGATCCTTGCGTAGATACATGAATACTGGTTACATTTTCCTACTTTACTCATATATTCAAATGCTCTATTATAAAAACTCGATTGCCCCCTCCCTTTACCGATCACGCTTCTGCTAGGAACGGGGGACTTCCGCGAGGCCAAGCTCATAGCCTATTTTTGGGAACAGCCACAAAAATCCTCTGGGCAGTGCTCCCTTACGACTCCTAAACTAATCTACGTCGACGAACCCAGTCGACGCTCTTCACACAACTACATCACATCTCGTTCTTGATTTCTCTTTCAAGAACAAAGATAATCTACAACACCCTCGACGCTCGTTCAGCCTCACCATCAGCCTCACCATCACCATCGCCGACGTAATCGCCTGCTCCACAACCAACGCATCCAGCCGACGAGCACAGCAGTCAAGCAGGACGTAGCTGGAGCTGGTGCTGGTGCTGGAGCTGGACAAAATCACTATCAACTCACTCACCATGGCCGCGAATGACTTCTACTCCTCCTCCTCCTCGCGGCAGGAACCCTCGCAGCCGTACTATAACACCTACCAATCCTCCAACCCCGGGTCGTCACAGGCCTACCCGCCTCCAGCACTCTCAATAGCACCCTCTTACCACACCGAGACTCACCTGCGAGGCCCCGCGCACTCTCACGACAGTAGATCACCTGTCTCGCCCTTCGAGGCGCCGTTCGACGACCACGTCTACCCGGTGCCGCCCCAGCAGAATAGATACGACAGCCAGAGCACATTAGGAGGTGACTCGCGGTACTATGAGCCAGGCGGCCACGGACCCTTCGAGAGCTCGAGTTCGTATAATGACAATATACCGTTGAGGGAGCATCCCTCTGTGCCGCCGAAGGATAGCCCGTTGACGGATCGTTTCGATACGGATCATGTGTATGATGCTCCTGTACAACCGCAGCGAATGGAGGAGGGGCAGAGTAGGAAGAAGAAGCGCATGACTGGGATGTTTATGAATAGGAAAAAAAGATTCCCTTGGCTTACCTATCTGTTGACGGTGGTACAAGTTGGGGTGTTCATTGGAGAGATTGCAAGGAATGGTATGTTCAGTTTGGTCCATGTATTTCTAAGGGAAGTTCTGACAGTATGCAGGAAGCTTGACAGGATCTCCTGTCATGATCAAGCCCAGCTTCAACCCCATGATCGGACCCTCCCCCTACGTTCTCATTAACATGGGCGCGAGATTTATGCCCTGCATGCACGCGGTTGACGGCGTACAAAACCGTGAATCAGGTGGCCCAATCAGATGGCCCTGCCCAGACACAACCTCGAACGACGAACAAGACTGTACCCTCGCCCAACTCTGCGGCTTCGGCATGCCCGATTCCCAGAATCCAGTCTACCCAGGCAGCACCACCGATGCTCTGAACGAGATCGCGAATCAGCCCAACCAGTGGTTCCGCTTCATCGTGCCCATCTTCCTGCACGCTGGACTTATCCACATCGGGTTCAACATGTTGCTACAGTTGACTTTGGGCAAGGACATGGAGATAGCGATCGGACCCATTAGATACTTCCTCGTGTATTTCTCCTCGGGCATATTTGGGTTTGTGCTCGGCGGCAACTTTGCAGCCGTAGGCATAGCATCTACGGGCGCATCCGGGGCTCTCTTTGGCGTCATCGCCCTCAACCTCCTCGATCTCCTCTACACCTGGAGCGAACGCCGCTCCCCGTGGAAAGACTTCGCGTTCATCATGCTCGACTGCGTCATCTCCTTCGGTCTCGGGCTGCTACCCGGCTTGGACAATTTCTCGCACATTGGCGGGTTCCTAATGGGTCTCGCGCTGGGAATCTGCATCCTGCACTCCCCGAACGCGCTGCGTAAGCGTATCGGCCAGGATGATCCGCCGTACGTCGTGGCACCAATAAAGGCTGGTGATGGAGCCATCCCCACCGCGAGCATGACCGGCTTCTTGAAAAACCCAGTTGGGTTCTTCAAAGGGCGGAAACCTGTCTGGTGGGTGTGGTGGTTCGTGAGAGCGGGGAGCTTGGTCTTCGTTCTGGTGGTATTTATCCTGTTGCTGAGGAATTTCTACACGGATAGGAAGACGTGCAGCTGGTGCAAGTACTTGAGCTGTATTGTGAGTTTCGCTCTTTTCCTAGGACACGCAGAGAGAATGAAATGTAAATGGGGCTAACGAAGCACAGAATGTCAACGATTGGTGCGAAGTGGGCAATTTGGAGCTGACGTCCTCCAGAACGAATGATACTAGCTCGTCCACGAACGGGAAGCGGGACTTGCTTGGTGGTCTTGCTACGATGGCGCAGATGTATCGGGCGATGTAGACATCTGTCTCACTATAGTGGAGCGGACCTTCTCATCCTCTCTTATTTGCTACCGGGTTGGGAGAGGTACTCCGAAGATAACAGTTAATTCAGATTGTTCCCCGCTTAGCGAACTGATTTTGCTGGGCCGCAAAGGGCACAGGGCCGAAGGAATTGGGTGGATAGTACGAGTGGAAGAGAGGAAGATGGAGGGGATAGGAGGTTACCGCGACGTCCAAAGGTCAAGACTAGCGAGGATCGACGATCGATCCGATGGTGACTTTTTATGTGGATTTCATAGGCATAGCATAGCGATGGAGTTTTCTCTTCTCTTTCTTTTTCTTTTTCTCCTTCCTCTTTCTTCTTCCTTTTTCTCCTTCCTTTTCTTCCTTCTTTTTCTTCCTTCTTTTTCTTCTTTTTTCTTCCTTTTTCTTCTTCCTTTTTCTTTCTTCTTCTTTCTTCTTCTTTATCTTTTTCTTTATCTTCTTCTTTATCTTCTTCTTTATCTTGGTCCGTTTCTTCCCCTCCTTTCACTCATTGCAAACACGGTTGATGGATGGATGTGTGGATTCATGGATTGGGTAGATAGATATCTGGGAAATGGAATGGAATGGAGTGAATGGATGGCTGGGTAATTGATTGATGATGATGGTGGGTTTTTATCTTAGTCTGTTTGTCTGCCTGATTGGTTTATTGGTTGGTTGGTTGGTTGGTTGGTTGGTTGGTTGGTTAGTTGGTCAAGATGGAGGGATGGATGAATTTGATACCGGTACTCAGAGTAGGCTTCGAGGTTTGGGTTTGTTTTTTAATCATCTTTTGTCTTGGGTGGGTTTAAGTGGGTAGGTGGGTAGGTAGGTAGCTAGCTGAATATATTTAAGAGTGGATGTAGGCGAGAGGGTGTATTTATGTCTATCATGGATGGATGGCTGGGTTACGTATGGGCTTTGGAAGGTGAGGGTTTGGAATCGGGTCTTCAAATAAGGCATTTTGTATTTTAATGCTGTTAGTGTTACGATTCTCGTATGCTTATATGTTTATGTGTAGGTACAATTCTATCGATGTCATAATGCATTAAAAAATCCGATTCGCACCCAAACTAAGGGTCAATCAATACCTCGGAGGAAAAAAAAATCACCACTACCCAGAGTTTCATCAATTTCACCTCCGACGAAGAAGTAACTAATTAGACCCTTAACCTCTAATCTACATATTTAATATAAGCTCGATAGATGCATAAGATGAAGAGCTGTTGTCGCCCCCTTTTCTCGAAACCTCTTCTACAGTAAGTACCGTAGCCCTTCTAAATTTTTGCAGCGGTTCACTAGCGCTATTGTTAAGCGAGAGCCAAGCCGAAGCTCTGTACCTACTTTCTGCCTCTACTTGATTAATTCTATTATTAAATCGTGATGTGAAATGAAACCGTCTTGCAGTCAGTGATGAGCTGTTTGGGTTTTGTTCAAAGGTTTATTGGTTTGATCTTGGCGTTGAAGCGAGAGTGATACAGTAAAAAAAAATGAGAACAAGGCTTTTGAAATCTCTTCTTTTTTTTTTTTTTTTTTGTTTGGGCGTGCGTGTGTGTGTGTGTGTGTGTGGGAATGTGAAAATTTTGGAGCAGGGGGGTGCGTGGGGGTGGTGGTGGGGGTTTAAGGATATTCAGACGGATCGGATCGGAAAGGTTCGGTGAGTTTAGTTTAGATTAGCTTAGTTTAGTTGGCTTGCTTGTGTTGAGTGAGGGATTAAGAATTGAGATCTAAGCGTGCGTGGGGTGAGTTTGGTGGTGATGGATGAGTGGGTCATGAGTAGTTTTTATTATTATTGTACTACGTATTTATTAACATCGGGCGGGTAGCAGGCTTTACCTGTCGCCCTGGGACCTCCCATAAGGTACGGCGACGTGCTAAGTAGAGGAATTATATAGTAGTACAAAGTACTGTTCAACTGAGAGTAGAAACCACATTGAGGAAAAGCTCTCTTATACATAGCCTCGGGTCTCTTATCCCACGGTATCATCGCATAACCTTTATAACTCTTGAAGGCATTTCAAGTTGGTATAGCGCAGCAGCTATCAATGGTGCTCTTCCCTTGTGGATAAGATGGATCGCAGAAAAGATACGTAGTATACTGCTATTTTCGTCGGAGGACAAACTTCAAAAGCAAGCTACAGCATAGGTAACGTCTATCGGTGTCGATTGTCGAGATAATTCGAGGCCAGGCCGGACCGGAGTCAGCTACTACGTAAGTGACCTTTTCGAAGGAGCAACATGGTAGATCGTCTTGAACCCTTTTCTACCTCTTTTACTTCGTTCCTCTTTCATCGCAAATCCTTTTCGTATTGTCAATCGGTATGCCCGTCAAGTATAAATCGTAACCGGCGTAATGGTCAAAGTAAAAGGAGGCTCGTTCGGATCGCCGGTGAAAGGATATCTTTTCGAAAGGCTAGCTTAACTCCATTTCGGCTCTCCAGGTTCTCTTTGCCGCAAGAAAGAGAGCTGAAAGTTCGTAGAAGGCACTTCGTACATTCGTACAGGTAAGGGATCGTAGCCTTCCGGATGATGAGTCGTGAACAAGTAAATCGGTATTTATTTATCCTTTACGGACCTACTACGTACGTACGGTAGTAGTATGTGGTACTACGTAGTACGTGGGAAGAATGGAAACTGGGGGTATTCTATATTTAACACCCGTGGGGTTTGGATTAGGTTTTTTTTTTTTTTCTCTTTTTTTTTTTGAAGGGGGAGGAGTGGGGGGTTCCTTCGATTTTAAAGATCGACCTAAGTGGAGACGGAAAGTTCGTGGAAGGAAGCACTCATATTGATTACGTCACGACCTCCTAGTGGCACTAAGAGGTATATAGATTTTGATCCATTTTCTGAAACGACATAGCGGTGATTGGATCGATAGAAGTGTTAGTCAGGTAGAATTGGACTACTTCGACTTTTTGAATATCTGCAGCAGCATGTGGAAAGACTAACTTTTTTGCGGGAATGGAATGAGTGGAGTCAAGATGGATGGATGGTTTGGGCGTGGTTCAAGATGGATTGGGGAAGGAAGGAAGGGAAGAAGGAAATAAGGGCTTCAGCTGGATTTGACTTTGGTAGTGGTGGTTTTGTCTATAGCAAGAAAGGGAGGGAGTTGTGCATCCTTGTTGATAGCAAAGAAAGGCGTTGGAATTTGAGTCCAATCATTTCCTTCTGCTCTCTTAGATACCGTACGAAAAAAACACCGTCGCTCGTCTTTTGCGGTTTTATTATTATTGTTTTTTGCTCAAAGTGGGACCTGAAAGAGCGCAATTGCTTGCTTTGACGTTTGAAGTATGTGGCAGAATGTTCAATACTCTCCAAATTGCTATTTCCATCATGCACTATTTATATCTGACTGGAGAGCATTGCGTATCATGAGTATAGCGGGGTTTATGAAGCCTCGTACGTTATGATCGGAGTCCTCGCTTAAATGTAAACATTCACTGAGGTAGGTAGATACGGACTATGATTGCTTGTGACGACGAATTTGATTATTGTAGGATCTGTAAGATTTTTGGCCTGTATATATTTGTGTATTGTACCTTATGGAGTTCTCGGTCGCCCAGAAAACGGAATCAGTTTTCTCCGACGCGTCAGGTCTTGCTTGGGGTTCTGAATATCGATCGTCCGCCGAGTTAGCGACCGGGACTGAACCTGTCGGATATCACGCAGCATTTGAGTAGTAATTAGCTATTCAGCGGGTATGATGCAATATGATTGGGGCAAATTAGGCTTTGAGTTATGCTGATTATACTATAGTCGATAGCATGAAATCACTTCATAGCAATATATTTATCTATATTGTATAGCGCAAGACGCGATTTTATCCGAGACTTGGATTCTGTATTTACTGATAGTAAATTCTCTGAGTGGCTAATGGTTATGAGAATGGAAGGTTGCTTGCTACCATCTATGGCGGAAGTCAACCAAGCGTTTTGCTTTTAGTTTACGAAATGCTGGCGATACCATGCTCTCATTTGTATATCCACATCCCCTGGCACGAGGAATCGTTGGACTTTCTTTGGGTGGCTTTGGACTCCTCGGTCCAAGCCCGTTCGAATCTCGAAAGAAGTTGGATGTTCTTATATAGCCACATCCTTAGAAATTTTGACTTGCGAGTGTGATTCATTTCTTAAAATACAGATTCGTCAAAATCAGGATTGAATTTTCAAGGCATATTGACATGTGAATAGTCGGAATACTGAATGGCTGCCCAAGGGACAGATCATACATATCATTTCAATTTCGAATATTTAATTTCAGAAATTGATGATCGTGAAAGCGCGGAGGTGAGGTGCGCAAAGGCTACGAAGTTTCGAAATAGTCGAGTGAATATAAGTTTTGATGGCATCATATGTTAATATCGAGCTCTGGCCGTGTAAGTTCTTCTCACCCAGGTCACTTACAGTACCCTAGAGCAAATATTGCAAAAGCGCTTATTTCACACCAAAACTTGTATATTTGAGAGCTTAAACTTTCTAAAATCATAAGTTTCAAGTGCAAAAAGGCTTCTGATTGAACCGTGTCCTGAGAAACACAGCTTCGTGACGGACAGAAGCCTAAGTTGCATGGAATGAATAAAGTCGAGCTCTTACACGAGGAACAAGACCTAAAGTAGATAGACATGTTCTGGGGAATGGTTCTTCATAAGGAAGCCGCGTGGTTACGTGCCCCGTGACCTACGCTAGCACTTGCGGCTACCTGAAGCCAACCTCTCTATTCCTTGGCCCACCTGTGACATTCGAATTATGGGAATTGATTATTCACCTATCTCATTGAAGGCATACTGTATCTGAGACGGAATAGCAGTTTCATCGAGTCCAAGGTTTGCAAAAGCATTTATCTTGAGGTGCACCTGGGTACCTTCAAGAGGTTTGACAGGTTATGGCGTATTTGTATTTGTGTATTGTAATATCGTTATATAGCGAGATTTTGAACGTATAAGAGGGAGATGTGGATATAGATCGAAGAGATTTTGGTGCCTGAAGCTCTAGTAAACCTGCGGCAAATATTCCAGAGCTGTCACAATGCAGATCCTGTCTTTATCTGATAAGGCGAATACATGGCTCTTGCGACATTTTCTGAACCATGGATTATACTTTGCGACATATTCAGTACCTCAACATCTACACCTACTATAACCCAAATTTATGGACCTGTGCGCCTGTGCCGGAGATGAATGCTGGTAAAATCTTGGGGTCCGGATCCGATACCCTTTTCCTTCCTCACTTCTACCCTTTCTCTCTCTCTCTCTCTCTCTCTC